GTATTCGCCACTCCCTCGAGACCCCTCCACGCTCAGCGTGCCATACAAGCAGGACAGGCCTGCAAAGTGCACGAGAAGGAGAGGATCTATGTAAGTCAGACCTCAAATGCTATGCCGCCTGCCGGTTCAGTATTCGCTGCTCACACCCTTCCAGCCTGGTATGTCGGAGGAGTAGGTCAAGTGGTTTTGTAGCATGAAGTCCACATCCTTGACAAGGCCGCTCCACTGCAGGCGATTGGCACTGACAGGGCTTTCCATCGTGATGCCCTGCTCGCGCATCCAATCCAGTGGCCTTTAGTGAGGCCGGGAGAAGCCGCAACCCATCAAGGAAGCCACTGGCATTAGTCGCAAAGTGACACTTTGTCAGGAAACGAAGCAAGGCTGAGAGCATCCCTACCCAAGCCCTAGCTTTCCCTTCACAGCAAGAATTTGGACGATGAATGTGTGGTGAAGTTGTCGAACAGCAAGCACCCTTTTTACAACACTCCTAACGCCCAACGGGCGACGGCACCCGTTTGGCAGCACTATCCGAAAAGCAACTAACCACAACAAACAAGTACAAGCAGCAGCCGACTGAACCACCTCGCCAGACCAAATTCCGAAAACAGAAACCCCATTGGACCTACCTGTTACCTTGCAGCCCTTGCAGCCTGCAAAATGAGGCATGCAGCACATGAACTTTTAACGTTGCAGAACATCCCTGCTTAGGTGCAGCCGCTGAGGTCAAGGCGTGAAGAGAGAAAGAAGTCCCCAAGACGAAGTCAGTTCGATTCGGACCGAAAACCCCGCATGTGCTTCAGAATATCCTGAGATGCAATGGCTCACGAGGCACAGATCTTGCTTGCAAAGGTGCGTGCTTGATTGCATTGCTACTTGTGTACACTGCTCACCTAAGAAACGGTGTTTGTGCATTTTGGACGAGGAACTCAATTTGAAGGCCGTCACATTGATAACCGCATCCTCCATTGCTTCAGGTAAAGGACTTAAGGCACCGTCCAGTGTCAACGGGAGCTCCACCCGGTAGACATGCAAGAGCATCTTCAACTGGGCAGTGCCATTCGCAAACCCGGTGGGCGAAAGCCCGTGATGGCCAAGATCGGATGCATTCACCCAAACTGCATCATTCCCGTGAAACGTGGAGGTAGGCGGCTGGTACATGAGGCCTGATGATAAGAAGGTGTTGAGGACGGAAAGATTCCCTCTCAACTCCCACCAGTATCCATGCAATTCTGTGCCCCCCTTCCGAACATCCAGGCCTGGATAGGCTTTCATCGGCTGAATGTGCCCAAGCTCGGCCCGAACCAGGACTGACAGGGCTGGATCACCAGTCACTACTTCTTCAGCGTCAACATCATCAATACGAACCGGCGGCAATGGAATGTAGGCGTTTTCGCCGCCGTGGTTTTCAAGTCTGAAACGCACTCCAGCAGCACATGTAAGATTTCCAGTCAGGTTTTCAAAGGTCTCATTGACCAGCTCAAGAGAATCACAAGTGGGTTCCAATGATGTGCCCTCGAACAACTGGGTCAAAACAGGCTCATCATTCACAGGCTCTATCGAGATGACCCAACAGCCTGTGAAACGTCGAATGCTGCCAATTCGCTTGGAGCCTGGAGAATCCGCTAGAAAAATGCACAGGTGGTCCATCGCATGATTGGAGTTCATGTTCAGCAGCGGGCTGTAGATGATGGAGTCTAGTGCCGTTTCTACGTCAGCAGCATACCCCTCCAAGCTGATAAGCTTACTCGTCCTTTCTGTCACGACAACGCTCCCGACAGCGGCCATGCTGATGTTTCCATATTTTGCCATAACACGCATTCGAAAAAGCCACGGCGAACCACTAAAGACACTCGTTGCTCCAGCCGATCGCACATCCGGATCCAGTATGGTGAAACAGCACAGTTGCACTGAAGTATCTTCCATGGTCTCCACAGGCAGTGCCCAGGGGTACTCCAATGAAAAAACAGTCGGGGCATCATCGACAGGTTCCACATCAACCCGAAGATACCTCCAGGCACAGGTGCCAGGCACCAGTTGATCGAGCAAGACATCCAACTGGCAGGCCTGAACCAAGAAACTGGCCGCTTCAATCCACAAATGCTTTGCTATGGACAACATGAAAACGATGCCTGCAAGCTGATGCTGGAAGGGCGAGCTGGCACGTTGAACCAATCTCGGACAGGATGGCGGAAGCGCACCTTCATCAGCTAGCTCCATGTAAAAGACTGCAGAAGGACGACCAAAGTGACATTTTAGTTACCAGTGATTGCGCATGGACATGCTTCATAGGTACCGGGCCGGGCCTCCTCTAGCAGGAGGTTCAAATCTGTCATTTTCCCAGACACTTCAAGAACGCTGGAGCTGATGTTCAAGTAGCGAAGACCGCTCAAACCTGGAAGCCGCAGGGCAGTTCAGTGCTTGCGCAGCCCCTGCAGTAGCAGCAAAAACAACTGATTTATGCCAGACCCACCTCCAGGTATGATTGAAGTGCTCATGGATATCTCACCACCGAGATCTTCATCCCATGGGTATGCGAGCGCACCATCGGAAGAGAAGATCTTCAGGACCAGGTCCGAGGAAGGAGACGGGAAGTTGATCTGCATCCTGCTGGTAAAGAGACACTTGTTGATGAGCTCCCTGCCCTTCTGCTGGCAAATGTGTTTTGCGAGTTGCTTGAGTTTGCATATGAAGGAGTGAAATTCAGGCACACAAGCTGTAAGACTACTCCTGCAGCATAAGTTCATCAACGATGCACACGCGGATTACACACAAAAACTGGCATCTGTAAACTGCAAGAGTGCTCCAGGAAACGAAGATGGATTCTCCCAAACCTGCACTGCAGTCCTGGCTTCCTGACCCACGCGAAGGAGCTCGTCCTCCCGTGCTTTGAGGTCAGGAAACTCCACAACCAGGTCCACAGGCACTAGCGCCTGCGATACCTGAACGCAGGTCCAGGCTGGGTCAGGGATGCAAGGTAGCGCACTTAGGGTAGCAGTTATCAGTCGCGTTCTGGCTTTCTAAAATGACGACTTCAGCGAAGGTGCCTGCACCCGAAAACCCAGCTCTCCAGTGAGATTGCCACCACTGCCGTCTAGGCCACCGTCTGACACCCTCACCACGATGATATCTTCGCCCACGAACCAAGATGGCGGCTTGTAGATAAACCGTCTGCAAGCCTCCTGATGAAGCAAGTTCGCAACTAAGCAGAAACATGGTTGCGTGCAGCCTTTCCTGCACCGCGCTGAGGTTCCCTTGCAAACGCACGTAGGTGCTCCGCAATGGCGGAGCAGGCACCTTCGCAGGAGATGCTTCCTCACACTTGCATTGCTTGCAGGGGTGCTGAGGCCTGCTGGCGAAGCAGAGGCTCACCAAGAGGGAACAAGATCTCGCCACCCAGCGTCTCGAATGTGAGGGTGAAGCTGTCATTCCTGGATTCTACATCAAAGCCTAACCAAGAGACTCTCCCGGCAGAAGAACCAGGTCCTCTCAGCACGCCATCCTACCACATCGGGATCATGAATACGAAGACCTGGCAGCATGCCAGAGGCACAAGGCAGCAACATGAAAGTGATCAACCTTGAATTGAATGGCCTTGAAATGGAAAAGACTCGTTGTTGAGCATCTCCTCCAGCGGTCAAGGGGTGAGGGGCTCCTGGTTCCAGCTGGCCCTGGTGGGGTGCTATCAACACCCAAGCGACTTGCCACAACATCCCGTTTTGCGTCGGAGGGCTCAACCAGGCACCCAACACTGAAACCTGCTCGGGCAGGATAGGGCACGCGCTTGGGGCCACTTGCATCGGTCCAATCCAACAGAAAGAACCGCGGGCGCGAAGGCAGAATAATCTGGCATCTTGCTTAAAGCAAAAGAAGATCCTGCCCGGTGAGGACAAGGATCTCTCCCTTCCTGATTAGTTCCCACATAACTGTGCCAACGAGGGCATTTGTTTCTTGCGATGCAATGCACAGCATTGGAGGAGTTCTGAATAAAAGTTAGCAGGGCGCAGTATGCTTCATGGTCCAGTATATGCTATTCGGAAAAAAAAACACATACACACACACACACACACACACACACACACACACACTCCCAAGAGGATCCAAACTCCACCCCGCAGCCCCTCAAATCCCCTCGGCTCCAGCTTTCAGAGCTACGGGTTCCAGAGCCTACCCACGCAAAACTCTCTTCTCCCAGGGAAGCTCCCAAACCGACCCCTTCCCCGCTCAAATCCCCTTTGGCTCCCGCTTGTCACCTGCTTTGGAAAAATGTTACATCCAAAGTGATGTGGCGAGGCGCAGCCCGTCCAAGTCGAGTCGAGAAATAATATTTTATGCAGGGGTTAAAGCGGGGATAGAGATGCAAAACGAAACGCACCCATAAGATTGCGTAAGCCTGCTCAGGGCTCGTTTGCATGTCGTTAGGACTTTAGCCGCTATTGGTTGATGAAACTATCTAAGGGAATCTCAAGGGGCTGAAATGCTCCGCGCGGCAGACCCCTTGCTGTGATGTGCTGCGCATCTGTAAGCCTAGCTAGAGGTCCAAGTTGCCGTCCTTTGGTGGCAAAGTGATCCAAGTCAGATACGGCATGTCATTCACAGGCTCAACCTTCAGCCAGGATACCACAGCTAGCACAACCCTTCTTCGCCCTTCCCCTGGAGCGGCCTGGATGGTGACTAGCTCTGACGTGGTCCGAACTTCTCCTGATGCAGCCTGCAAGGAGCCTGTAAAGCCATTATCCTTGGCTGGAGGCAGTGAGATGCACAGCATATGACTCAATAAGTGAAAGTTCCAGTATCAAGTGCGTCGTTTTTGGGCAGCTGCTTCTAGCCAAGTGCTGTCCAACTTGTCTCTACACTGCCCGTCTTCCTGGAGCACAATGCATGACGGTGAAACTCGACTGAGTTCTGTGCAATCTCATCTGCCAGCAGGATCAGAAATCCTGTACTTGCCTGCTGTGGTTTGCAAAATATGCAAAATGAAGTTCATGTTGCCCAACGTCCTCCTATGCAGCGCAGGCGGAAAGCCAGTCGCCAGAGACTTCACACCGCTGCAGCTCCAGAACGCAACACCAAATCCAAAGAAGTTCAGCAAGGCGCACCACCAATCGAGGACCTTCCCGTCGCCAAAGCACGGTGGAGTCCATGAGACTACCCTTCTCGCGGCCTTTGGCCATCGGGGGAAGCTGTCCAAAGGAGCGTCCAAGCATCGCGACAAGGGCCCCCAACAGCAACCATGGAGGAAAGCTGTGGAAAGCGAAGGCCACCCCGAAGACAAGGTGTGCCAGCAAAGCCAGACCCGCTCCTGCATAAAGGCCCCGCCTTGCCTGGGCAGGGATGAAGACTGCCCGGCCTGTCTCTTCTAAATCTGCCTTGTCTAGTCTGAACTGGCCACCTGGAAGCGGCAAACATCCCACAGAATCGCTCGAGCTAGCAGCGGGAGTAGCAAACATCACAAGCTGCACCTCCGCCCAAAGATAAAACATTGTCAGGAGCACTGCCAGTATTAAAGTGACATGTACCAAACCAATACCATGGTCCAGAGAGACCACGTTGCATCGGCAGCCAAGCTCAGAGACCCAAACCAAGAGCCAGGGCCAGGCCATCGCAGCGCCCAGCAGCCGCACACGGCCAAGAAATGTCAGTATTGGAAGCCCGATTCTGGTTCCCAGGCTACCAACCGCATAGACAGCGGCCTCCAAGGCCAAAGCTACTTCAACCAAAGCCAAGGTTGCAAACAGCATTGCCTCTGCACCAGTCGCAAGCACATGGATGCGCAACACCAACACGTGACCCAAAGCCACCGTCCAATATCCTGCGGTCGCTATCTTGCTTGGTGCGGCAGCACCGGAAAGCAGAACTGGGCCGCGGTCTCCATCAGACATGGCACCAACAAAAGCTGCTCTTCTGAGTATGGGTTCAAGTTCTCTTTAAGTTGCTCATGAACACGCAAGATAACGACTTGCCCCCAGCTTCAGCAGTGCTTTACACGCACATGGATCGGGCCAAACGCTGGAAAAACAGAATCGAGGTCCAACCCTTGATCATCACTCTCGGCATGTCATGCAGGGCTTGCTATGCAACCAGCACCATGCAATGCGAAGCCAAGTCTCCAGGACCGTGATGCGCATTTGCACTTCGCCTGATGCAAAGCGCAGTAGGTCAACGAACCAGTAACATTAACATAGAAAAGGGCTCGTTTCTGAAATGCTCGTTCAAGGCACCATGTAAATTCGACGGAGGGGTGTAAACCAGGTTCCTTGGCTGCGATCATAGTCGCTCCGGAAGGATTGCAGCACTCCCAACAATCCCCGGCATCCTAACACGGAACAATCTATTCAAATCCTTCCTGACGCAGCTGGGCATCTCCAGGCAGCTCTGTGCTTCCTTAAAGCTCGCACGCAGCTTCCCATCCGTGCGCAGCTCACACGACTCCCTGACAACACTTGCCGGTCGACTGGAAAGACCTGCATAAGAGAGCAGGGGCATGTGGCAGCCCATCACTTCATGATCGTCCCTCTAGCCAAACAACATTATTTATTCATGAGGCCTGAAGCATCCTGAAGCGTTGTGCACTTGGAGAGTGGCTTTGACTCCCAACTTGCTGTCATGCACATGCCCACGAACAGTAGGCGCTGTTAGGCAGCGTGTTGAAAGCAACTTTACTTACCGTTGCATCTGCTGCCTACATCCGGCCACAACCTGCCTGTGCATTGAGTAGTAAAGAGGCTAGGTCTCTTCTCAATGCCAGCCACACCGTCGCAGCGCACCATGCCTGCCCACACATGTGCTTTCCGGGTTGCAGATGGCGGCCCCCACAAAAGCACCCCTCGTAATAAAAGTCTAAGAGAACTTAAACTCACAATGTCGTCATGAGTGAAACCTGAGGCGATCAACAAACATGTGGCATCTGCTTGCAATGTCAGCTCCGGAGTTGTGGGTTTAAGTTTAGGTGCCTGGATTCAGCATCGGAGTCCGCTCACTCGCTGCACACAAGGCAGAATGCAACACTAGGTTCCTGTCTCTAAGTCGGTGCTCATTGGTTTGCAGCTACCCCCCACTCCCCTGATATTGGGGTATATAGGGGAATCGAAAATAAAATCAAAACCACGACAATGGAGAATCAAGTGAAGAAGCAATTGGAAAATGGAATGGAAACTAGGGTTGCATGGGGATTATACAGGGAAATGGAAGAGAAAATGGAAACGACCATTTTATTTGGGGTTGAGGGCTTAAATCCAAACCCTGCCCCCCCCGACCCAATGTCACATGTTCTAGTAATTCTAGAAACTCTAGTATAAAGCAAAGAGGATGCGCAACGAAACCCACACAAGTTCCAAAACAGCTGGCCACCATTTCCAAGCATGAAGGATGAAGGAGCAGCCAACGAGAGGGTTAGGGTCTAGGTTTTCGCGTTGAGGCTAGGGGATTGCTTCAGGGTTGGCTTTGCGGCCAAAGTTTGGTGCTGCGCCATCAGTATGAGGCTGCCTGCCTGAGATCCCGAAAAAATATTGCATGCAGGCATTGTCCTCATTTGCCTTTTGCCTTGGTCTGTGTTTGCAGGTTTCTGTTTCAGATCTCTGCCACTTGAATCCGTCCGCGGCATTTTCTGTTGCCCGTGCAGGCTCAGGTCCATGGAAAGCATCCCTGCACAACTGACAACAAACAGTGCATCTTTTGCTGCTTGACTACTCTGGCATCTGAAGCAACAAGCTGGGAAAAATATCTACGTGTACACGACGTGTCATTCAGCCTGCATGGTACGAGGCTTGAAGGCTGTAAATTTTGGATTTACCACCTTGGATGTCCGGCAGTCAAATCGTGCTTTTGCATGTTGCTTGGCCACTTGTCCTTGATGCTTAAAACAAGTTTGTCTTGATACAGCTGCAAATCAAAGACTTGGTGACGCCTATGCCGAATTTTCTCCTGCTTCCGCCCGCTAAGTGCCAGAAACATGGTGCACACTCCCATGATTTTATCATCTGCAATGAATCCTGGGACGCCAAGCTCCCCCATATTGGCTACCATACAGGATGCATGAAAATGGGTTTCGGGTTGGAGGGATGTCAAGGCTACCAGTACTTGGTGCGAAGGTTCCAGTAACGTTCAGTTTTGGGCTCTGAGCTGGAAAACGAGTCGAGAAAGTTGGAATTGGCCTCTGCCTTTCTTGAGGGCATGCCATGCAACTGCCATCCGTCTCAGAGCTACACATGCTGACACAGAGCATGAGGATCGAGTCTCTCTGAGGAAAAACATCGTTCACAGGCTCTTCCATAGCAGCAGGCGATATTGCAACATGATTACAAGTCGTCGGCATGTTTATGAGCACCATGAGGCAGCCTGTGAGTGCTGCTCACCCTCGGAACGTCGGCACGGTGATGCGTTCGGCATGTTGCAGGAGTAAAACCAAAGACCAGCATCAGCAAGACTTTCACACCATGACAAACGTGTCGATGAGTGCATGACACTGCACCGGCAGGATGTACAGACTATTCATCCACCAGGCCTGCAGATACCCAGACTTGCAAATCCACGTAAGTTCCGCCCATCTCATCAGCATCATCGGTCAAGGAAACCTGTCACAACTTGTGCACTTGATTTCAGGACGGAGCAGTGAAGGATACCTGAGAAGCCTTACATCTTTTCGTTGGTTCAGATAGCTGCGGGCTGTGCTGTGGCACAATCAGGAAGCCTGTATGGCACATACGTGCCGGTTGCATGCATCAAAAAACAGAACACAAGAACACATACGGCCATCAACGACCAAGGATCGCAAATTGAAGATTCCCATGCATCCTCGCTCAATATGAACCACACGTTACCCTCAGCACGCTCACAGGGTTCCAGTTTCGGCGGAGCATTAAAGTCCTTGGTTTGAAGGTGGTAGATGATGCGCACTCGCAATCAGAGCCAAACAGGCCGCATGGGCGAGGGAAGATGTCATTGCAGGCATGCGGCGTGCACCCACACGTGGAGGGTATCAGACAGAACAGTATCAGCAGAGCCCGTGCCACCAACGCCCAGGATGAGCATCCACAGCATGAACGACCATCCTGAGCATAGCACATGCCGGATAGCCAATGATTCTCCTGCGTGCATGATTGGGGCTGACAGAGAGTCAAACGTTCCAGATTGCTCCTGCTACTTGTAGGGCAGGGCGCCTGCTACACTGCACGAAAGACACGCAAGATAGTGCAATTACCACACTTATGCCGACTTAGGCCTTGCACGGAGTTCTGAAAACGTCTTGAAACATAAGCTAGTCCAACTGAAGATTTCTCTGTGAAGATACTGGTTGCGTGAAAACAGCTCTGTTTGTCACCTGCATATCCATAAAGAGCAAATCCAGAGCTGCAGCAGACTTTTCACATGTCTTGGCCAAGAGTCTTAGAACCCAAGGCATTGAACTGACCTCCGACAGGGTGAGGCCTGCCATCCTCAGCTCATCAGAGGGGTCCGGCTCCGCAGGTCAGAGGTTGACTTTGAGACTTAGAGCTTCTTCCTGAGGAGGGGCAGCATTGCTGTGCAAGCCATCAACATCATCACAGAGATGCACTCATGCACAGCAAGTAGGTCAGAACAGAGCACCGTATTGAGACCCAACGGAAACCCATGTAATTGCAGTTGCGAGTCCATGCCACGCCGCCCCGCGAGCCCGAAGGCGCGAGCCGCGTGCCTGCCAAAAGGGAAGGCTTCTGCAGCAACAGCTGCTGCAGCATAATGCTTGGTGAAGAGGAACGGACCCGCATCAAGACGCTAATTGTCTCAAGATCTTCGCGTTGAGCTCAGCAGGATCTGAACTCTGCAAGTTTCCTCAAAATGCTTTTTCCAAGGGCAGGCCTCACGTGCTCATCCCTGCCTGGAGAGCCATATAAGTAATAAGCTGTGAGCCAAAACAGCAGTGTCCTGGCGGACTAAACTACTACTTGAGCATGTGAACCTAAAACGAACCCGAATTCAAAATGAGAAAAGGGTGCCAACGAGGCGCTTGCCCATGCATAAACATGTATTGCAAGTATTGCAAGCAATAAGCACAGCCACAGCGGCATCACCCCCCAAGCCGACTGCCCGAACAATGCCGCAGGCTTTGATCATCTGTAGATACAGTCGCGGAGAGGGAACCTCAAGGTTCGCAGGCACCGAAACAGCTACACGCATTTTGAAGCAAGCCCAGGACCATGAGTTCCCATGTCCGCAGTCGTTGAAAAGCTGCAAACGCAGCTTCAACACGACCACCACTGACTAAGCCTTGACACACTCGTATGGCTGCGTCAACTTTTGCTCCATAGGACCTCCCTCGCCTTCAACAAGGGCTTCGAAGATGTCCATAGGTATCTTATCAGCAACGCCTAAGCGGCCACACAGGAAACAAAGAAATCATTGACAAGGGTTGAGTACCCGACCAGAACCCTTCTGGGCCTGACTCAGCCGTTCTTGCATCAAGTCGAGCAAACACCCGTCAGTTATCCACTTCTGCATGTCTCCCCCACCTCCCATGATCCAAGCAGTGAGAAAGCAGCATCTGCATCGCCCCCACGAGCATGCGCACAAATGAGTGCGTGCAACAAGGATGACCTTGCCGCAATACAATCACACACACTAAAACTACTTTGTCTTTCCACGTGGCATTGTGATTTTCATATTGCCATCCTCGAATTCGACCCCTCGCAGAAGTAAAGTCAAGCCTCGTTGCACCCAACTCAACACACACCAAATGTGCTCTCGCATGGCATACCCTCGAATTAGGAGGGACTGGCGGCGGTTCTGCACAGGTGGGAGATCAAAGGATAAGGGATCAGAAGAATGTATAGGCTGCAGATGCTGTAATTTGCAGCATTTTGGCCATGTAGAGGCTGCAAGTAATGTGTATTACAGCAGTTGCAGATACCGGAGATCACATCTCAGAGCTTTGACATACTGCGAAATGCAGTATGTGGAGTTTCTTAGCGCTTGCAAATGCTGTAAGTTGCAACATCTGGTTTGCATATTCTAGAGCTTGCCAGAGTTTGCTGTAAATTGCAGCGTTCGGAGTTTTGCAAAGAACATGGACACTGCAAGTTGCTGCGTCAAGGGGGGTTTTCAATCACGCTGTGGATGGCCTGAAAAGCAGGGGAGTTGAAGGGGAGCAGCCCCCCAAGCAATATGATCCGCATAATGGTCCCGCAATCTCTCTCACGACCAATATGATGATCATATTATGATGGTTTCTTACTGCCAGCATGGGTGACGTTAAAAAGCGTGGGGTTTGGGGGGCGCAGCACCCCCATTTGCAAACAAGATGATCCGCACAACTTTCCCTTATTACCAACATGGTGTTGACGTGGTGTTTTCATCGCAAGCATGGGTGGTCGCAGCCCCCACACTTGCAAACCAATCATGAACACAACCTTTCCTTACTGCGAACATTGCTATTACATGATGCTGCTTCTGTTTTGCTGCCAGCATGGATGGCCTTAAAAGACGGGGGGTTGGGTTGCGCAGCCTCCCCATTTGCAAGCAAAATGATCCGCCGAACCCTCCTGGCTATGACATGCTGCTTCTTTTTAGCACGAAAAAGACCTTTCTGGTTTTTGTTTCCCTTATTTCTGCGTCTCCTTGTTGCTTTCTTTCCCTTGGCGCGCGTGTAGTTCTGCACTTTCGCTCTCTCTCTCTCTCGACTAGTTGGAAACCCCCTATTATTTGAAGCACCTCCAGCAGGCCCGGGGAGGTGCTTGTTGGAGGCCCTGGAGGCGCTGGGAGGTCCTGGGAGGCCCTGGGAACCCCCAGAGCCTAAATGCGGCATTCTCAAAGATCATGTCGTTTTGATCCCTTATCAATTTTTATGTCTCTCCCATCCTGCGCCCATCGGGGTGCGGGCAGACTCCTTGGGTTCTTGCATGGAGCGTGGGTTGGCAACGAACTTCTGAATCCAGCTTTCCCAAGGACAACTGCAAGCAGCTCCGGAACAAAAGCTGCACTGAAGGAAAGAGCATCCACCTTTGACAAGCGGCCACTAACGGACACGGCAGCGCGCCGCAGAACAGCTAAAAGCGTTTACCTGCTCGGCGAGGTGCTGGTCAGATTAAAGCTGGTCAGACTAATTTCAAGGAGCGTACGTGAAGCTGCAACACTTCGGCGGCAATCCGGAGACAGAGATGGTAACACCGAAACAGCAGCAACCTCTTGAACGGACGCCTCCAACGTTGACACGTTCTGTACCCGCATCCGCCACATAAGGCTGGATATGTCGACCCCCGCCTTGTACTCTCGCACAGCTCCGCCTTCTTTTTAGCCGCCTGGCAAAAGCTTTGCAGACTTCGGCACGCCTAGTTCGGACAGAAGAAGGTCCCAACGCCTGTGAAAGGCACCGGGGGAGCCGGGATACAGCTTCTCTCCAGGGGAAGCCTTGCGCAGGGAAGCCTCCAGGAACTGGATGAAAAAGGTCCCTTTGACGCACAAGTGCTGAGGTCTTCCTTTTCCTCGGAAAGCAGTTTTGGTAGAACGCGCAGCCAGGTAGCAGCCAGAACTCGGCGGGCTGTGTGTGTTGCTCGGAAGAAGTAAGTCTCGCCGTAGAGCACGAAGAGGTTCGCTGGCTCGCCCCAGGTCGTAAAAGGCCAACCCCAGAACACAGCACCACCTGACCCAGCCTCGCAAAGCACCCAAGCAGAGTAGAGCTCGGACCAAAGCTTCAGGGACCGGCACCCAATCCACGACAGGCTCGGCAATCGCCGTCTAAAGCAGTCCTGCGGTCCTCGGGCCGGCAACGCTGAACACGTCCTGCGTTAAGCCTCCGGGCAAAGTTTCGAGGAAGTTTTCGTCGAGAAGCGGTGCGATGCCCCTACCAGAGCAGCGGCTATCAGCAAAGGGGCTTGGTCTTCTCGAGGCACAGCAACCACGGCGAGGGGGAAGTCAAATTCGGCCTGGCCTTCGCCATTGCATGTGGTCGCCTGCGTGGTCCTCCCCCCTCCATCTCAGGCATCTGGCCAGTGGTCGTCCTTGAAGGGGAACCCCAAGAAGATCAAGTTGGCACGCTCGTTCTGACAGGGAACCGGGATCTGAGAGCACGGAGGCAACGCAACCTCCAAAGCCTTGCCCTCTGCATCAGAGTAGATCACGAAGACGCGGCTTCGAAGCTGAAGTCGGTCTCGCCCAGAAGGTCCTCGGCGCCCCCTATGAAAAGCACGGTGGAGCCAATCGCCAAGCTCGTCCGCAAAAGGGTCGAACTTCAGGTGTGTCGGGAACGACATCAGACACTGTCTGGCCGCTTCTGGGCCCGTAGCCTTGCAAGGGGTCGCGATTGGCAGCGGAACCAATGACTGCAGCTGCAGCTTTGGGAGGTCGGACCTCAGGAGCCTTTTCCACATTGACAGTGCTGCAAGGCGAGCTTCCAAAGCAGAGACCCGGAGGGCGAGCCGAGCCAGCTGATCAGAAGAGCACGAACCTCGGATGCAAGCGTCGAGGAGAAAGCTCTCATCCACGCTTGAGATGCAAGGAGGCCACTCTGTCTCTCTCTTCCACGGTCAACCTCTTTTTCCAAAGGTACAACAAGTCAAGGAGGACACCGAGGATGATCCCGATCAGGATGACGCCGGAACCCCAATGAACAAGTTGTGCCACTCCTGTCCGGTGGGGCGCTCCAGGGCGTAGCCCTCGTAGGTCGGAGTCTCAGGAGGGTTGAGTAGCTGCTGCGACAGCAGAGTTAAGGACAAGCTGCTTAATTACCCAGCACCAGCCCCTAAGGCTCAATTTGACCTCAAGATGCTGCAGCATGTTTCCACAGCGTCGCTCGCATGAAAAAGCATGCATGCTCGTGTGTGCGCGCAAACTGCGACCACGCACGCCTAGCTGTACTCGCACCACTTGCCTCCCTCACTAATTCGTCGATTGCTCCCTCACTTGCTCGCCCACTCAGCCACTAACACTCCACCACTGTTGGTTGTCTCGCGCAGCCACGTTGAGAAACATTGACATGTGGGATTATCGCATCCTTTGCTTCGCCTGACCTGGGCCCTGTGCGGCAGCATTCCTGCAGGCTTGTCTCCTGGCATCTAGTCTAAGCGGAAAACTTGTGGTTCTAGATCTCGGAAGCTTGCTGTCCTGGGCGTTGGCAGCCGCCACGCTCTTGTCCGGGCAAGGAAAACTCTGAAACTGCCATCCTGATCACGCAAACTGGGCAAAGACGTTGCACAAGAATCTGTATGTTCTGCCAGCCAGGGCCTACTCTCTAACCGAAAACGAGGCCATGCCCACGTGTTGAAAGTGCCAGCACAGCATCAGAAATTCTAAGCCTCCCACAGTCGCAGACAGATTCTACGAGCTCTCGGCAAATCGTCTGCCTCGGTTCCGTGCAATCCGATCATCGGAGCCGACTGTTCCATTGAGCCCCAACATACCCATGAACAGTGCAACCCCAGCAACGGTCAAAGTTCACACGGGCTCTCCTCATGGGGCCTCTATCTACACGAGAAAGCCTGACTCAGATGGTGTGCAATCCGCATGAAATCACAGCGCTGCTCCAATCGGAAATCTGATGTCTGCATCCAAAAGACAACACGAAAAGCAAGGCACCACATGGAAAGATACAGAGAAGCAACAAGTGGGCAAGTGGTACGCAAGACCAGCGGAACCAGTCATTGCCCGCCGTGAACAACGAGTGAAGTTTGTGCCTCTCTTCCCGTTCGATACGGTTCCAACGAAAGGATGATCCTACTACAGTAACTACTCATTTGGAGATTCCTGTCCTTCTCCGATCCTGCTCGCAGCAGCCCGTGTCTCGGTTCCAGACCGCTGCTGCTGCGCTCACAAGCAAGGACAATGCCTCCATGAATCGTTTTACCTGTGGGCGGCGCGCTCCCATCATAACATAGCACCAATGAGGTGGACATAAAGCAGCAAGAACCATCAATTGCATACCTGCACTCAAGTGCAGTTCCAGTGGCTTCTTCTTCTGCTGCTTCCTCTCCGCATCTGTCAAATCCTGAGATCACCACGCAATTCTGGCCACATGCTGTGCCTTCCGCTGACCCTAGCTGGCACTTCGAACCCCCGAATTCTGCAATCTCTGCAACATGTTCCGCCAAAGCGCCCCTTAACTCACCAATGTCTGTCGGAATGACGGAATGAATTTTTAAAAGTCTGCATACAAGCATTACGGCAGAGCCATAAACAAAAGGAATCGAAAACTAAATTTACGAAACAAGTTGTCAAACTCTGCTCTGCTGTAACACTTCATCCCAGTCAAATGGTGTACTCTTCATCCACCACTTGGCATGAACCCCGTCAATGCGAGCTTGAAGCTCGCAAGCAGCCTCGTATCGCTGATATCTGCTGATCAACTTGTGCGTCTCTTCTTGGAAGCGCTGCTCAAAGCAGATGCCCCAGACAAGCTAGAGCTTTTTCCTGTCAACGCCATGGGCCTCGCGACGGCCGCTACCACTGAACGACCAGATCCTGGGGCTGCGGGTGACAGCGGGCGTCGTGCCTTCAGAAGGCTCGCGCGCCGCTTCGGGGTCTGGAAAACCTCCGCCGGGGTGCAAGACCCTTCCTGCACAGGTCCTGCTGGCAGCAATGCCATCTCCGTCTCAGCTGCAGCTGTCTCTTCGCCAACCTCTGCACCTGGTTCGGGGGCGCCTTGTCCGTCATTACCTGGCAAGGCCTTTTGAGCAGCACTCGTTCGTCGTGCTACAAAAAGCTCAGCTGGCATTCGACCTTTTGTTGCCCGCCCATCTGTGACCTGTCCAGCTAAGCTTGGGCAGCGCTTCTCCACAATGTAGCGAAGGACGCTGGCGGCTTTGTGGACTGCATCTGATGCTGGTTGTTCCCGATCCACAAAATCCAAAGTTCGGTCGCAGACTTGGAGCACAGTCCATGCAAGCTCCATGCAATGTTGCACGTCACTCCGTAGCAGAGCTTCACATAAAAAGCTGCATATCTTGCTGCTGTTTGGAAAAGCTGACGCTGGCTCAGACACCTCTCTTTGAAAGATTTCCGCCGATGACAGAAAGTGAATGAAGCATGCAATAGCAAACTCCAAGAGAGGCTCCTCCATCCGTCGGGCAGCCTTCGTGAAGGACGCTTGCAACATCCTGTGCACTGCTTCGCGGTGTTTCCTGACAGGCGAGAAGCAAAATACTAAGGGCAGAGTAACGCAAAGGCGTAGTCGATTCGCGAGGCGCACCCTGGAGCCAGGTGGATGCTGCAAACGCTGAAGTGCTTCTAGCAGCTTCTCGCTATCGCAAGTTGGCCTGCTAGGTCCAAGGCACTCATGCATTCTGGATGCCAACTTCGCCAACAGCTGAGTGGATATCTTCAGACGACCGGTGCGAAGAACATGCAAGACAGAACATGCAGCAAATGAGGGCTGTGGGTCTATCCACGACGCGATCTGGTCCTGATCCATCTCCTTGTTGGCGGGCGCCAAAAGTAAGCTGACAATACAATCCTCAGACCCGGCAGCTGCTACAAACTCAATTGCAGCACAGCGAATATCCGTTGCTGCCTCCGCTCTTGAAAGGATGCTCTGGGCCTCACCCAGGAATTCGGAACGACTGGGCAAATCATTGAATAACCCACCAGGGAAATCTTCCTCGAACAGACCGGAGGCAAGATTGAAGGCAGAAACCTTTTCTGCACTGCAGAGTTTACTTTGTGCCCATACGAGCCAGCTTTGCACAGCTAGCATCCTATCCTGGTCAGGCAACAGCTTCAAGGCCTGTGTGACCTTACGGTGTGGGTCATGTGCACTTTTCTCTGTACTTGCCATTTGGTAAGCTTCCAGCAGCACATCTCCCAGCTGCGCGGTATGAACCAGCCTGTTGTCAATCCCAAGAGCTTCCTTCCTCTTCGCAATTGATGCCAATGCTCTTACAGCTGCCCAAGCATCTTCTGCTGAAGTTGTTGCCATCTTCACTAGGTGATCTGCATGTGGATGGACAGCTCCAGCAAAAAACTTTGGAAGATCAGCAACACAAGCTCGAGCAGCTGTTGCCAAGTCTCGCGGTGCTGATTCTTCTTCTCGCTGGAAACCTTCGGGCCATCTTCTGTTCCACAAGTCCAACAGAGCTGAGACTTGATCCGGGGACATCCACGTGCAGAGAAGAGCACGACGAATCAAAGGTGTCAGGCCCATGACGCTGTGCATCCGCAGCAGTCGGTCCAGCTCCTTGAGCGAATCCAGAAGCTTGTCCGACTCATGATGGCTGCTGTCTGCGGGGCTTGTGAGAAGCTGCAACAAAGACCAAAATGCCTTATCACGTATCCCATCCATTGTGGCTAGAAGAGTTCTGCCACTGCTGCCTTCTAAGTGCACACACAAGTTCTCAGCTTCTGGACTGGCACCGATGGAACCGCCTGAAATTGCCAACACCCCGTCACCTGGATTCGGCATCAGCGGCGCTCCTTTTGCAATTCTCTTGTCTAGATATCTTTGCAGAGCCTCATTGGCATCCCGCTTCTTGGACAAGAGCAAAGCCAGGCCCTGTGAGGAGTTTGAAGATCTGTCTGCAGCAGAATGGTAAAAGCCAAGATATGCTAAACCACGCTGGTGTCCACCCATGCCGGCGCCACATCCAAGAATGTGTTGCTCGAAGTGCTCCTCACAATGACACACTACAATGGTCATGTCAGGTCTTCTATGGTTTTGCTATGCAGGGCATCCACGCATTTTCTGCAACAAAACGTAAACGGGAGGGGTAGAAGCAACAATATCGTCTTACACCATGTCTGCCCATGGTCAACAGCTCCCTGTCCTCCAATTGCGCAACTTGGCCCAGCCCAGTGTTGTTCCAAACCAGGTACGCTTCACACAGCTGCTGCGGGATCCAACTCCAGCGCTCAGCCAGCTGCCCAGATATCCATCTTGGAAGTGAATGCTTGGCATAGAGCCGTGACATCATGTTGGCGCAGGCTTCGCGCACCTTGCCCTTTTTATCCAAAATGCGGCGGGAAATCTCTAAGAGGGCTGGCTCCAGCAAACCATATCCTGCCATGGATTCGGCTGCCACATCTAACGCAACTTCGATTGAGCGCATTCGGATAGAGTCGTTTGGGTCCAAACTTCGCTCCTTCACTTTCAGGACCAATGCACTACCTGCCGCAAGCAGTTCTTGACAATCAGAGGGCACTGGCTTTGTTGAACTAATGGATGCTGTCGATTTCAAGATGGCCCCAGCACCATCTAGGGCCGCCAATCGGACACCGTCATCTGCATCATCCAATCTGTCCCTGTGGCGCTCCACAATCAAGGGGTGCGAAGATGCCAAAATAGGCCGAGTCAAGGCACCAGTAGGACAGAAGGCGAGCAACTGCCCAACAAGAGCTGTGACCGCTCTCCGTTGACTCACATCCTTGCTCCTGGGCACGGTCAGGCACGAGATGCATGTACATCAATACTAAGTCATACAAGGGTTGAAAGCACAAGTTGACTAGGCTCACAACACCAGCAGCAGGCATGAGCGCATGAAATGTTATTACGCAAGCAGCTGTGCTCTGTAAAGCAATGTACCCGCCACCAAAACACACAAAAGCATGCTCACGGAGCTCATGATTCACAAGATCGGCTTGCAAATTTGGCAAAACACGTGCCACCAAAGCAGGATCCACCATGTAGAGCTCGTGCACTGCGACCAGCGTAGCTTCTGAGCGCTCCGCGGCACTTGGAACCAGCTGCAACTCTTCCCGGCTTTCACTTGGAGAGTTGCGTGCCTTCCAAAATTCTCGCCCAAAAGACAATCTTACGCTTCCAAGCGCCAACAACAACATGCATAGAATGTGGGCATGAGACTGACGGAATGCCTCTGCCAAGCAGGAATTCAGATAGTCATTCACCGCCACAGCTGCTGTACGCCGTGCCAACATGGCCAGCACACGCTTGACAAGTCCTTCGTGCAATACCATGAAAGAAGTTTTGAAACAAACTTCTCCAATGCCAAGATTGCAGCTGGAGTGGTGCTTTTTAAAGACCCTGATCCTGCAGGCTTCGACTTCTGCTTCACTTCGTCCAACAGGAGTCCAACAACGGCTCCAGGAAGATCATCTGCCTGCATCATTTAATCGTTGAGGATCTGTTCGCAAAACAAACAGACGAGCTCATCAGGACGCCCCGACCTCCGCGAGAACGCTGTTCAACAACTGGGTCAACAAAGCTTCAAGCTGCTCCAAATTGTCGGCCTGGCTGGATAAATCCGCTTCGTTGATGCAACTTCTAAACACTGTGTGCTTCTAGAATTCCAAAGGCGTCAAACCAGCCCATGACACGTCCAGTGCCATCGCGGCTTTGCGATAAGTGGCCATGGTTACTCTCACCAAGTCTGCCAGCACCAGCTCTGGGGTCGCTGTCTCGAACAAGAGCATGAAACCTCAAAATTAAAATGTGCACAAGCTCAACGTGAAAACCGCCTCCAAATCATGACCGAAAAAGCCAAGATGCCACGTATTTCGGTGAGCCTGATAATCACACAGGCAAGAGAGGCTGTGCAACAGCATGCCCTGGCCTGCGAAACAAATCGAAAGCATGTTGGTAGTTCACAGCCGCCGCGTCAGTCAACCACCCCATCTGTTCTATGAACAACGTCAGTATGCTTGAGATCCTGTGCACATCAACAACATGCTCAAATTACCCTTGCATGTGATGTTTTGCAAATGAATGCCAATAGATGCACCAAATTCATCCTGTCTCGTTCGATGGGTGGTCTTGGCACGAAAATCATGAGCACTTCAGCCAAACATTTCCTCGCAAATGCACATCAAAGACTACTTGTTTGATTAGCCGACGATAAGATGCAGCTTTGTGTCGCTGCCCACAAACGAACTTCGCCAGATGGATGCTCCATGACATCTGGCTTGGTTGCAACGCGAGCTTGATCCTCGAGCAATTTGCCTTGACCCTGCGGCGTCCTGCATACTGTGACATAAACAGCTCATGAATAACAAGTCACCAAACCATGCATACAATACCATACCATACCATACCGTACCATACCATACCACACCACACCACACCACACCACACCATACCATACCATACCATACCATACCATACCAGCAGCTCCTCTGGAACACATCGAAGGCTTCTTGCAGTCGACTGATGGCTGCATCAGCGGAAACACCCGCCTCACACGTGAAACATACAAAGTACAAGTACCAAGCCCGAATCTGCCACCCTCGTACTAAGAAAAATTGGCCGCCTTGTTGCGGGGGTTTATGCCGGCACATCTTTGCCGTGGCGCCATGCGGAATGTCGCTGAGCGCGCCTACGCTTCGCCTGACGTCTATGTCCGACGAGAGTCTCACTCCCACTCTTAATGATGTTTGTGAAAAACACACACTGAATCAGAGCCAAACCAAGCAAATATGTCGTGTTGATCGGCTGCTATTAAATATTTGAACTTACGACGCAATGCTGCGGACACGGGCACTTGCCGGGCAAATCAAACCGACACTTGCCGCTTCAAGGCTGAAAACCTTCTGAACATGCGCACACAAGCTTGCAAACTTGGAAACGTGCTCAGTGTTGATTGCTCGGCTGCTTTCCACACATCTTCCAGAGCAGGCCTGTCATGGGGGTGCAGCCAGTGGCGGATAGCCGCACAAGAGCCATCTAAGGCGGCAGCACATCACATAGATCGCCCAAACCATTCAGCAATGCTAATGTACCTGACCATTCGGCCATGTCGACCCAACAGAACGCAAACGCTGCCTCACAATCTTGATGCAGCCTCGTCTGCGGGACCTGATTGCAAACACTTTTCAATTTGAATGCTGTCCTCATGCAGTTCGGCCAAAATTTTCAGGGCAAGACATGACACGCCAATGCCCTGGGCAAGCTGTCCGCCATGTCGCGCAGCAAATGTGAAACATGCCAAACTGTTCGAGCCTTACAAACCTGCAAGCCAGGAAATGAGGCAGAACACTAATTGGATTGCATGCGGGCGTCTTCTTCCTGCAGTAATTAACGGCAAGCACTGCACAAAAAACGGACAAATGTAGTAAACGCGTCCCATGCTCACCCCAGTGCTACATTCTTTGCTGCAGCCAAAGAAACTTCGCTCTACGTAAGAACCGATGGCTTCTTGCCGTCCCAGGAAACGCAGCCACAACTCGGGCCAAAAACGACGCAAGTCACGTTTTGACTGTGTCTGCCCAACCATGCCTGGCCCGACCGACTTGAACCTCTGTGGCCCCTCACATGGTCATATAGACCATGTTGACCCATTGTTTGGGATTATTCACCCCAATTTATTTTGGCATGCAGATGGAGAAGCTCAATGATACAACATGATGACAATTTTGAACCATGGGGCAAGATGATCACATATAATGGACACATCTCAATCTGAGAATCTTGCATACTGATAAAAACGAAACACAACAAACATGAAGAAAATGATGACATATGGTTAGTTCATTGCAACATCCACCTAGCAATTCATACAGAAGTGTGGACATGATTGAACATGATAGAAACTGACGAAAAACCATGGAATACGATACAACGCTATGAATGATGGACACTGTTAAAAAAATGCTCGCGAATGATCAAAATGATCGATGGTATGGAGATATGGCGGAAACGATGAATGGACATGATGAGATTTGATGACACAATGTGAGAATGAGAAAGCATGACAGAAAAAAACTTGTGAAACATGATATATTAAGGATCAGCAAATTCTGACATACGAATTTAATCACAAAAAATGATGGTAATGATGCAAATGATGGAAAATTCTTGAACGATTGGAAAATCCAACGTTATATACAACAGGCAATGGTATGTATATCTGATGTGTCTAACCTTTCTGTTCAAGTTATTCTTTCGGCTGTCATGTCTTTTGTTTTTCATTGCTTTATTTACGTCTGCATGAGCAAATCCATTCAAGTCGGAGCTACCCGGGCGGACACCGAGGGGGCAGGGCTGGCCCGGCGCCGCTGGCAAGGCCAAAGCCTGGCTCCAGCCACGGGTGCCCGCCCCAATCACCACCTCGGGCTACGTTTGGCCAAGTACATTCGTGCCCAAAGCTCGTTGATGTAACCTCCCCACCTTGCCTCAGAAGGTGCCGCCAGTGTCGCAGGATTGGTAGGAGATTGCTTTGACGATTCGAGCCTTGCGCTGAGGGAGCGTAACCGTTTGCTCTTCTATGTGGTCAGATCTCGGAAACGAGGTTTATCCATTTAAAGGGCATCCGGAAAGCGAGTTTTACCCTCTCCGAATGAGAGCTGGTTTCTCCCGAGCCAACCACAGAGAAAGCAATTCTGCGCGACACGGACGTCGCTCAACTGCAGCAACATTGGAAGCTCTTCTCTTGACAAGTGCCGCTGAGGGGAAGTAGGGGTGGGAATCCCTATGCTGTTCACGCATAGTGCCCTTATGTAGCCCTATACTAAAGGCACTCGTATTGCCTCCCAACTTGCCCAAAAACCGCAGCTCCAGCAAGTTGAGCTCAAGATATGGAAGTCCCCCGGCTCAGAAAATACATTCTTCCATATTCTTCCGTAGATTTCACAAGACCCATAGAAATAGAAGTAGCAATAGCCATAGTCACATCACAACACTAGTGGAAGTAAAAGGACTCGAATCCCCGATTTATGAACCTGCCTAATAACAAATATTCCGTGCGGGGAAAATCCTGGAAGACTACTTCTAAACAACGGCCCGCTAGCGAAAAAAAATGAGTGACTGAGAGGGTCGAGATCCATGAGCATTTTGGATTTGATTTCAAATTTGCCAATTGGACAGCTGCTGGTTTCTGACGCCACCGCAGAAAATTCTGAATTACCACGCTAAGTC